GAGGGGGTTATAGGTAGATCATTGTGATCAGTTCTCCCTTTCTCCCCACACTTTGCCTTACCCTCCTGGTATCGCTACTCTCATTATTGGTCCTGAGGGCTTTATCTGTCTGAAGTCCCTGTGTTTCCAGTTCTTATCTGTACCAATGTACATGCTCTGGTCTAGCCAGACTTGTAAGGTAGAATTGGGGTCATGATAGTAGAGGGAGCGGGGAAGCGTTAAAGAACTAGAGGAAAGTTGTGTGCTTCATCATTGCTGTACTGGCCGCTGACTGACTAGTCTCCTCCTGGTGACCCTTCTGGGAGGGATGTCACCCCATCTTATAGGGGGCATTGAGCGGGCAAGGAGAGCTTGAGCAACTTGCTCCAAGTCATTAAACTCTTGAACCGCAAAGCAGAGAGGCAAACCCAGGGGAAATGGTTCCGGCGTCCTCAGGCCCTACTGCCCCCACCTGCTGCTGCCCAGCACCCCCTCCCGTTGCCTCTGCCTTCCACAGATGCCGACGAGTGCGTGATGTTCGGGCCAGACCTCTGCCAGCACGGCCAGTGCCTCAACACAGTGCCCGGCTACCTGTGCCTGTGCGATCCCGGCTACCGCTACAAGGCCGCCAGCAAGACGTGTGAGGGTGAGCGTGCCCCTGCCCCTGCCAGCCAGTCACGTTCCGGAGCACCTGCCCCTGCCTGGGAAAGAGGCCTACGGTGACGGCCAGGCCTGTGGTGAGGGGAGCCTGGGGCTGTCGGGATGCAGGGGGGTACCTGCTGGAAAGGCATCCCTGCAGCCGGGCGGGGGTTCCTCCCAGGCCACTGGAGAAGCCCCTTCTCCAGCTGTCAGTGTGTGGTCTCCTAGGCACTGCGCCAGCCTGCCTTGCCCCTCCCTCCCGCTGCAGATCACGATGAATGCCAAGCCTTGGCCTGTGAGGACGGCGAGTGTGTCAACACAGATGGCTCCTTCCACTGCTTCTGTAGCCCCCCGCTGGTCCTGGACCCAAGCCGGCAGCGCTGCGTGAACGGCACCGACAGCCTGGGTGAGTGAGGCAGGGCAGCAGGGGTGGTAGACTCAGGCGTGCGGGCCTTCCTGCGCCAGCACCCGGCCCTGCGCGTCCAGCCCGGGGGGGGGCGGGTGGGGGGGGGGCGGGCGGGGGGCGGGGGTGGGGCTCACGTGCCTCTGTGCCCTGTGCTACCAGATGACCTCCCGGATCACGACATCCACATGGACATCTGCTGGAAGAAAGCCACCAATTACGTGTGCAGCCAGCCCCTGCGCGGGCACCGCACCACCTACACAGAATGCTGCTGCCAGGACGGCGAGGCTTGGAGCCAGCAGTGTGCCCTGTGCCCTCCTAGGAGCTCAGGTGAGCCGCCAGGCGGTACCCGGACAGGTAGGGTCAGGCACACCTTGGAAGGGGGAGACATAGAAAGGAGTGGGGCAGGCAGAGTGGCGGCCCCAGTTGCGCCCCCCGCTTGATGGGGGACAAAGAGGAGGATGTGGCTGGAGCCGTGGGGAAGAACCACTTCTCTCGAAACCTAACCAGCTGGCAGTCAGCATCCGGTGCTCTCTGTTCCAGGGCCAGGGTGGCCGCCAGACTCTAGAGCAGTGGTTCTCCACCTTCCTAATGCCTCGACCCGTTAAGACGGTTCCTCATGTGGTGGTGACCCCCAACCGTATTTGCGTTGCTACTTCATCACTGTCATTTTGCTACTGTTATGAATTGGGTGGGCTCTGTGAAAGGGTCCTTCGACCCCCAAAGGGGTGGCAACCCACATGTTGAGAACCACCGCTCTAGTTCCTGTCTCTGCCCCCTCCCTCCTCCCACTAGAGGTCTATGCCCAGCTGTGCAACGTGGCCCGGATCGAGGCGGAGCGGGAGGCCGGGGTCCACTTCCGGCCAGGCTATGAGTACAGCCCTGGGCCTGACGACCTACACTATAGCTTCTATGGCCCGGATGGGGCCCCCTTCTACAACTACCTGAGCCCTGAGGACAACGGCCCTGAGCCACCCTTCCCCAACATGGCCATCGACCCAGGGGAGCACACGCCTGTCCTTGAGGCGCCCCTGCAGCCTCCAGAGGCCCCGCCCCGCTATGTGGCCAGCCAGCCAGGTGTGTGCTGCAGTAAACATACTAGAAGAGGTGCTGTAGCTTTCACTTCCTTCTCCCGTTAGTCATGGGGAGGGATAGAGACCCACCAACCCAGGTGTGCGCCTCTCTCATGGGCCGCTCTGGGACAGCCCTAGCGATTCCCGGTGATGGACTAGCCGGGCACCAAGAGGTACCGGGGACCTGCTCAGCCCCTGTGGGCTTCCAGGTGGGAGGCAGAGGGCAAGATGTAAGGCTTTGGGATTTCTGGTCACTTTAAAGGCCCGCTGTGGTGACTCGTTTGTAAGTGATGGCCCTGGCGCTCGGGACTGGGGTTCTAATGAGGAAGTCAGGCCCCTGTGCAGTGACCACAGTCCCACCCCCATGAGAACCTCGGGTAGAGAAGGGCACCAGGTGCGCGGGAGTCTAGGCCAAGTGGAAGCCTCTCGGGGCACCCACCACACCTGCAGTGCCACACACTTCTCTGTCATCGACTTGTCCCTTGTTGCCCGGTACCTCTTCCCTTGGGATGCCTGGTTACATCTGAGAAGTTCTCATAGCCTTGCCCCCGAATACTCCCT